ATAATTGAAGACAGATTAGGAGAACGGGGAGGAAGGGAACCGTATACAATAAGCTATTATGAGACGGTTTAGAAAGATCAAGAGGCTCCAGAAAAACAAAATTCGGCCGGGGGCAATTTCGTCGCGAACAGTGTATTTAAATCGAATCAGAACCGCGGAAAACATTACATGAACGTTGGTGATCATAAGAAGGTTATGCCAAATGTTAGTGCCCTTTCGAATTCAAATACTACTAACCGCATCTAACCCACCTACAAAAAATCAAATCATAGGATTGATTCTCCAATGGACTGGCTTTGAAAGAGCTGTCTAACCAGATGATTAGGTGTTTTTCGTGTTATTCATTAATATTATTGCTGATATTTAGGAAATCCAACCAGCCAGCTTCCAAATCGTTTCGAACGGCATCTGAGAGAGAAAATTTATCTGCTTAGGGTGGTTCACAAACTCAGTTCAAAATGCCCGGTCATTGTAAACAACATCATCAGGTCCTACAGTTTTAATCACCTAATGACAGTTTTACGCGAGCTTACTGGAAAAAACGAAACGGTTGAACAAATGAATAAAATATCGTTTCAAGACACTGACCTGGTGGGCGGGTGGGTTGTCTAGCTAACGGATCTAGCTGACCACCGGAGGCCAATACCACGTGGTCAGATAGGGGAGATGGGATACGCCCGAAATGATTGTTCGCAAATTGCAACGCAGCATCCAGAAGCCAGAAACAATCTGATTAGAGAAACAAACAAACAAACATGGAAAATAATTGGTCGTTCTCAGAAAAGTATTACACAATAAAATCAAGCAATCGAGAAGACTGCGTCATCATTGATGCTTCTCTACTTTACCGAATTATCATTTGTTCTTTTCGCTCGAAAACCTCATTCCACAGAACGGTGCTACTGGACTCCCACTACGATGGCCTCGAGTCCCGCAAGGGAATATGATCCGTGGAAAGGTTAAAATGTTGGCACATGAAATGGACTGGAATTGGGATTGCTTGGGGGTGAGCATTCATTCGAGAATGTGGAGTTCCGGAGAGGGAGAAAAAATCAACTGCGTTTTCGTGAAGTGAGATGGGTGCACAGTTTCGTTGTGACTGTCCATGAGTGTCACTTGTCATAGATCAACAGTAGACAACGCCATTGAGATCATAACCAATTGTTCGTCGGAAATGTTGCCTGTAAAACGGTATTTTTTCTTTCATATGCTCATAGTAATCGAAATTATTCAATCTCACCCGGTTCAAATTGTTCGCCAACAAATATCACTCCCCAATCCATCGATTTGTCCGACAAACGTGGCTTTTGCATCACGATAATTGATACCGATTCAAAGAAAGCACTCGCTTCAGTTTCTGGGACATCAAAAAGCTGTTTTATCAAAATGTCGGCCTCAAATATCTTGTTCGAATTGCTGAACTGAAATTGCATTTTAACTATTCTGGTATTGGTCCGCTACGTGCCAACAGTCCCGAAATAAATACAATAAAATCAGGCGAATCGACGCATAAAATCAGAGAGAGAGAGCAGAAGGGAAACAAAGTTCGCGAACATACTGGAAGTCACGTGGGTGGACATCAAGCAATCCGCATCGCCGTAGACGACCAAACGGCCAGAGTTTAGAGTCGGATTGACTGAGATCGGTGTCCACAATCCGAGAATAGCCGGAGTCGGGTCGTTCGTACCAGCCTGCAAGCGCCATGCACCTTCAGACTGATCGACTGGTGGCACATTGTTATTCAAATTTTCCCCCGTCGCCGGATCACCTGAGGAGCTCAATGAACGCGCCAAGACTTGTGATCCCAAATCAACCAGAGGAACACGCAACACACTTCCCCTCCCGGGAATATGCGAAACATTCTGGTGTGGAAAGCGACGAAAACTTGAACCAGAGGTGTAGGAAACTAAATTTTGGTAAGGGGATCGCAGGAAAATAAGTGAAACTAAATGAACTATCCAGGTAGAAAATTTTTTTTTAATCAGTTGTTCGCAATAAAATTGGTATGGGTTTTTAGTTACAAGGTTGAAGAATATAATGTTTGTTCAATGGACTGGCGATCGCTTTTTGATGATGACATCATCACTCATCGTTCAACAGAGGTGGTGGTGGCGCAGTGGTTTAGTCGTTGTCACCAGTTTGTTTTGGATCATGTGATCTAAGGTTCGAGTCCAATCACAGCCACCCAACGTTAGTGGTAGGTAGCTTTGCTGTCGTCTGATTCTATGCCATGTCTGACCTATGGGATTCTTATTTGGTTCGCTACTTCAAATCCGAGGCTTTAGTTGCCGGTTATGATCACTAAACAGCAGGCTTCCATGACTATGGGGTCCGCTCCACCTACTGTTCATCACACAGTGATGTGTAATAAAATAGGACGTGGCTGCACTTAGCTACACCGAAGAAGAAAGATACCTCCTCAAAGTGTTCGCTCGCAATGGCTACCCCTGCAAATTCATNACTCTGACTCAAAGAAAGAAGGAAACAACAGACGGAGAATCGGGAACAAGAACGACCCTGCCGTGCATCAAGGACGTTTCGGAAATGAGGGCAAGACTGCTCAGATCGTATGGAATCCAAGTCGCCCACAAACCGATCGCCTGTCTAAGGGGACTTCTGTCAAAACCCAAGGAGGGAACAATGGAGAAGGACAAGAGCAGCGTCATCTACAAAATAAACTGCAAGAACTGTTCAAAACACTACATCGGACAAACTGGGAGAAAACTGTCAACAAGGATCCGCGAACACCGATCGGCAGTCAGGAGGCATGACCCACTATCGTTGATTTCCCTCCACAAAGATCAAGAAGGACAGCAATTTGACTTCGAATCAGTGAGAATTAACGACCGAGCCCGGTCAAAACACGCCAGAGAATTTCTTGAGGCCTGGCACTCTTCAACCAACTCAATAAACAGGCACATCAAACTGAATCACGTGTACACGCCAATGCAACTGAAGGACCAAATGACGCAAAAAAGGTCACGTCGTGACCTGAGAGCGGACGGAAACCGCAATCGGGACCAAAAGACAACTTCCTCCACCCCCACCCGCTCGCAACAGTTCAACGACGGACCGAGTCGAACACAGTGAGAACAGGGGACGAAAATAGCCGGTGGAGAAGAACGCATATATAAAAGAACCGGTACAGACAGAACCCTGCCACTTCACAAGCACTGATGATGTCACCTCGGCTGGTGATGAAACGTTTGCAAACAAATTGCCAAGCTCGGCGAACAGGCGAAATGGAATTTTTCCAACTGTTTGAAAAGTGTTCCCTCTCTATCCAGCTTCGCGAACCGCTCGTAGCTCTGATCAATCGATGCATGAAAGGAAACTCGCCATAAGTGAGACACTCAAGTGAATTACTTCAATTCCGGGAAAGGATTGATAAATGTAGTTCTAATACTGATGTTTCACTTGGCTAACCCCATATTCGATGACATATCAATGTACACGACGACAGTTGGATGGCTTATAGAACGCAGTTACGTGTACACACACACATACACGGAATGTACTCTCGGGTCTGTTTCATCCCACATAGCTCCCAGAATAGAACGCACTCGTGCTTTCCTCATCAAATGTATTGTATCACCAAAAAATGCAATTGCCTTCATCCTTGGACGATGCCAGCCCAACTCACAGATATTAATTTGCTTCCTACGACGATCGGCATTCTGTACCTCTCTTTGAGCATTGTGGATTTCCTCTCCCCCCCCCACAAATTAGATTATTTTTAATTTTTTTCAGTCTTCTTTTTTACACCCTTGATCTGCCCAGTGTTGGAGGAAACCTCATAACGGACACAGACACGGACACAACTTGTAACCGGTTTAGACCAGTCTTTATGCATTGCTGCTGGTGATTTTAATCGTTTTAATATCTCTTTCCTCACAACTTTAGGCTTGACGAATCTTGTAAATTTTCCTACCCGGCTTGGTGTCCAACTCGACGGGATTTTTGTAAATAGCCCCGAAATCTTTTTCATTGAGAAGCGGGCTCCC